GGAGATTTTCAAGTTTTGTCCAATAGTATAATTTGCCGAAAAGTGCAGTTCTCCTTCATCATACAAAATACGAGTTTTTTTTTTTTTTTTAAAGGGGGAAACAAAACTTTGTATACTTCTGCCTTTTTCATCCAAGGGTTAGAAACCTAAACATTTTTGCCACACTCCAGGGCCTCTCTATGGACCCTATGGATATTATTCACACTCTAATTTTTTAAGATACCTGGAACTGCATTCATATTGAGCATATCTCATTTACCTAGGCTCACAGAGATTAGGCATGAGAAATAGCCAACACCATACCATCTTTATTTACCTAGGCTCACTAAGTCCCAAAGAGATTAGACAAAAGAAATAGCCAACACCATACCATCTTTATCCAATCACAAATCTGCTTGTCGAAACTGCTTCCAAGCTAAGTTTTATAAACTTTTACAAAAAAAGTGATCAAACCCACCCTCTTAAAGACACACTGTAGGAACGTTAGCAATTTAATCTTTTTAAAGTTGTTATAGTGACTGCAGTCCTGCTCCCCTTACTCCCGACCAACCCCCAAAATTAAACTAGTCAGAAGGCTCTGAAGAGTGGCTTCAAGCAATGCCTCCAAGCCTTGTAGATATGAGAGCTGGGAATCTTACTTCCTGACTGTCATACTGCGCGCATGTACAGTGCCATTGCGGTCGGCCACAGAGAATCACTGAGGAGCATTGGTAGGCCTTTCAACCGGAGGAGGAAGTTGTGGCAGTGCTGAGGGAGACTCGGTGCTGGAAAAAAGATGAGTAATTAGTTTATTTTTGAATTATTTATTTATTTATTTTGTGCACAAAGGGTACCTACTTGATAAGGGGCATCAGGGCTGTAGCATTAGGAATACAGTTATATATTCTTAACGCTACAGAGTTCCTTTGATAATGGCATTTACTTGAGGTTTTCCTCAAGTCAACCTAGCTTACTGAATCAAAATCCATCCTTCATACATTAAGCTCTAGTTGTTCTGGTGACTATAGTGTCCCTTTAACTTATGGATTCCTTATAGTTCCACCAGTTGTGCAGTCCTTCATGGTAGCCTCAGATGAGTAGTTATTTTAATAATGACTGATCCATGACAGTTTTTTAATGCCAAGACTAGATTTAACAGTTCTTTCTGATTAGGTTGATGTTGGTAGGGGGGCTGCTCTTTAAACCAGTTCAGCATGCTATTATCCTTAGGTCACTGTTTTTGACCCTTTGAACTGCACATGCAAATGTTTGCCCAGTTTAACAAGAGCCTAGCTGACATTCTGTTAAGAGCTCCCTCATGTTTATGTTATAAATCTAGTCAGCTGCCGTAATTAACTCTCCAGTGAACAACCTTTTTTAAACAACCGCGAGACTATATATCTTTCCTAAGGATTTAGAGGAGCGTCATGTAGAATTTTCCACCACCATATTAGGTGTTGCAGGTTGCAAGGTCCCATAGAATGCCTGTCACCTTATCACATCTGGATTTTGTCTCCCTTAAGGACTAAAACCCTCTTTAGTGCTGTAAAAAACATGGACAGCACATTATCCAGAAGAAACAAAAAAGGTTTTCTGTCTCACTGACTTTGAAAACCAGAAAACCAAGAGATGAAAACCAGAATAAACAGTTTTACACGATTCCGGGAACGTATACAGCAGTCAGTAGGGTCTATTCACTAGATCCTCAGATACAAACTTTGATAGTTTTAATTTAATTTTTTTATAAAATATTTTACCAGGAAAGATAATGCAACCTGGGTATGTTCAGGGCTCATTTAGCAGTGAGATAGTCACAGAGTATATCTGTAGCATGACCATGTTCCATTGATTGCCTCTAGATCAAAAGGAATTATAGACAAAGAATCAAGAGTCACAGTTTGCAACAATTGCTCATAGAGACATATACATAAATAGTCCATATTTAGAGGCAGTGGCACTGGTAGAGCAATCATTGTATTGATTGTTCTTCATGTTGTGAACCCACTTTACTGCATAGCTGAATGAGTTGGCACTTTGAAAATAATAATACCAAGAGAAGCCCTAATGTACATTAGCAGAGTTTTGAATTGGCTACAAATGCTGCAAACCATTGTCAATGTCTGAACAGTCATAATCAGGGATGGGAACCAATAATAAAGTGAATTCTTCTGGGGACAAAATGAGGCCAGTTAACAATTTTTCTTCTGGCACAGTCAGGAACAAAAATAATATTCAGAAAATAGATGTTTACAATTTAATTTATATTGGAGAATATTGAAAAGGATAAGGTGTATACCATAGTAGATGCCTACATAATGCTTTCAGGCGGTGATTTAACGGAATTGTGGGGTCTTAAATTGCCTAGAAAAGGCATCTACTTTGGGAGTTCTTGTAGTCAGTTCTAAATATAAATATATATATATGAAAAGTTAACAAACCTATGGCTTGTCTTGCTGAAGATTTCTACTGAAGTTGTATTAATTTTAGGGGAGAATAGTTGGCTATTTTTGCATAACACTCTCTGGCAAAGGTGTATGAAGTAGGTTGGTGAGATGCAGGGCCGGACTGGGAACTAAAAGCAGCCCTGGAAAAACGTCTATACCAGCCCAATAATGCATTGCGCCAGTATAGTGTGCTGAGGGTGAAAATAACTTAAAATTGAAAACTATTACTCCAATCAAAGAAAGCATATAGGGCTTCAAAATAAACAAAAGAGCACCTTTATTTTAACACCTTCAGGACCGAGGACAGTTCAGGACCGTCATCGGCATTTTTCCATTGCCGACCGGTGACGTTCCTGAACGTTCCTAACGGTCCAATGTACTTACCCGATTGTCGTCGTTCCCCCGGCGGCGATCGGTGTTGCTCCCGTTGTGAGGAGACTGCCTGCAGCCCAGACAGTCTCCCCATGGCGGATTAGGACCCCTGTGGCCATGTGATCGCTCAACAGAGCGATCACATGGTCACAATAGGTGTCCATGTGTCTGCCTGCAGGGGGACTGCCTGTGCTGACAGGCAGTTGCCCTGCATGTGTAAAATCATTAAAAAAAATAACTGTTAATGTTAATAAAAAAATAATAATTATATATGTGTATATAAATATGATATATATGTCTATATATCATATATATATATAATGTCATACTAAGTGTATTTTTATATTAATATGTACATATATTAATATAAAAATACACTTATAATTAAATTACACACGTGTATATATATAATATATATAATAACTATATATATTGTATATAAATATTATTATAAAATACAAATAATAAGTAATTTAAATTAAATAAAAACATGGAAAAATAATAATAAAAATTTTAAAAATATATATATCTATATGAAATTTTATTCTAACTGTATTTTGATAGTAATATATATATTTATATCAAAATACACTTAGAATGAAATTGTGTATATATATCTATGTATATATAAATAAATAAATAAAAATAATCCGAAATATACAAATGTCCATATACAGAAATAATTATATAAATATACACGTAGACTTCAAATATATAAATATGCATATATACTTAAATTCTACGTGTGTATTTATGTAATATTTTTACATAATTAAGTAATTTTATTGATTGCAATTTGAGGGGCCTACATGCCAACCCAGGCCGAAAGTCCAGAGAATTTAATTTGCTAGCACTATATTTTATCCTGTAACTTTTTATGACACCCTAAAACCTGTACATGGGGGGTACTGTTTTACTCAGGAGACTTTGCTGAACACAAATATTAGTGATTCAAAACAGTAAAACATATCACAGCGATGATATTGTCAATGAAAGTGACCTTTTTTTGCATTTTTCACACACAAACAGCATTTTTACTGATGATATAATTGTTGTTATAAATTTTCCTGTTTTGAAACACTAATATTTGTGTTTAGCAAAGTCTCCCGAGTATAACAGTACCCCCCATGTACAGGTTTTATAGCGTTTTTGAAAGTTACAGGGTCAAATATATGGGTGAAATATTTTTACATTGGAAAAGGCCAGGTTGGTTGGTTACGTTGCTTTTGAGAGCGTATGGTAGCGCAGGAATGAGAATTACCCCCATGATGGCATACCATTTGCAAAGTATTGCAAATGGGGTATGTCCAGTCTTTTTTAGTAGCCACTTAGTCACAAACACAGGCCAAAATTAGCGTTCAATTTAGTTTTTTACTTTTTTCACACACAAACAAATATGAATGCTAACTTTGGCCAGTGTTTTCGACTAAGTGGCTACTAAAAAAGACTGGACATACCCCATATTGAATACCCTGGGTTGTCTACTTTAAAAAAAATATGTACATGTGGGGTGTTATTAGGAGATTTATGACAGATAATAGTGTTACAATTTCACTATTGATAAAAAAATTTCATTCGCTTTTGTGGATGAGTAAAAGATTTTTCAAGTAAAAGTCAAAAAACATGTATTTTTCATCATTTTTCAATTTTTTTTTAAATTAAATTACATGAGATTATATAAATAATGGTCTGTAAAGAAAGCCCCTTTTGTCCTGAAAAAAACCAATATATAATTTGTATGGGAACAGTAAATGAGAGAGCGGAAAATTACAGCTAAACACAAACACCACAAAAGTGTAAAAAGAGGCCTGGTCGCAAATGTACAACATCGCAAAAACAGTCCAGTCCTTAAGGGGTTAAGCAAATGTACATTTGCATGTAATAAATGTTTTAGTCCAACTACCTTGACATATTAAAAACATTTTGGTAATGAGATTGAAATGGTGAATGTATGCGTTAAACAAGTTATCTTGTTTATTTTGAAGTCCTATGAGTGTGCTCTTCACTTTGAATACGTTAATGTGCTGGAGTATGCACCTAGCAACAAGACTGGGCCAATACGTGTTCATTACATATATGTTATATGTAATTTATGTGTGTATTATGTATATATAAATGTATATTAATATATGTGTAAATATTATAGGCATAGTTATATATAGATTAAAAACAAAGAGAACGTTACCTGCGCTCTGGCCTAAATCCCCATGTACATTTAAACAAAATGGAGGCTCTTTAGTGAGCTTATATATTCAAATGGCCATTGGAATAAAACTAAAGAGCCTCCATTTTGTTTAAATGTACATGGGGATTTAGGCCAGAGCGCAGGTAACCAGGGCTCGAGTCCTGCAGGAACGCGCGGGAACGGCGTTCCTGCACTTTTTTCACAGCAGGAACGCCGTTCCCCCTGCAGGCACTCAGGGGGCGGCAAAAAATGCCGCCCCCAAATGCCCTGTGTTCCCCCTGTCATGGGGGTCCACCTGATGTATTGCCCCCCGGCGAACGGCTCTCTCCCTGTCACACGCGGAGAGGGAGCTGTGTGCTCTCTGCTCCCTCTCGCCGCGCGGGATGTCTGCTGATACTGGGAGCCGGGTTGATGACGTCATATTCCGGCTCCCAGCATCAGCAGACATCCCGCGCGGCGAGAGGGAGCAGAGAGCACACAGCTCCCTCTCCGCGTGTGACAGGGAGAGAGCCGTCCTCACTGCAGCCCCACTGGACCCCAGGGAAAGGTAGGGATGCTGGGTGGGTTGGAATGGGATATGTTAATTTGTTGATAATATTATTAATGTATGTCTGTTTGTGGATGTCTGTTTGTAGATGTCTGTTTGTGGATGTCTGTTTGTGGATGTGTGGATGTCTGTTTGTGGATGTGTGGATGTCTGTTTGTGGATGTGTGGATGTCTGTTTGTGGATTTGTGGATGTCTGTTTGTGGATTTGTGGATGTCTGTTTGTGGATGTCTGTTTGTGGTTTGTGGATGTCTGTTTGTGGATTTGTGGATGTCTGTTTGTGGATGTGTGGATGTCTGTTTGTGGATTTGTGGATGTCTGTAGATTTGTGGATGTCTGTTTGTGGTGTGGATGTCTGTTTGTGTGTGGATGTCTGTTTGTGGTGGATGTCTGTTTGTGGATGTGTGGATGTGGATGTGTGGATGTCTGTTTGTGGATGTGTGGATGTCTGTGGATTGTGGATGTCTGTTTGTAGATGTCTGTTTGTAGATGTCTGTTTGTGGATGTCTGTTTGTGTGGATATCTGTTTATGTGGATATCTGTTTGTGTGGATATCTGTTTGTGTGGATGTCTGTTTGTGTGGATGTCTGTTTGTGGATGTGTGGATGTCTGTTTGTGGATGTCTGTTTGTGGATGTGTGGATGTCTGTTTGCGGATGTGTGGATGTCTGTTTGTAGATGTCTGTTTGTGTGGATGTCTGTTTGTGGATGTGTGGATGTCTGTTTGTGTATGTGTGGATGTCTGTTTGTGGATGTGTGGATGTGGATGTCTGTTTGTGGATGTGTGGATGTCTGTCTGTGGATGTCTGTTTGTCTCAGTGTGTGTAGGAGTGTATTTATGTCTGTTAGCGTTTGTACGTGTGTATGTGAGTGTATGTGCTTCTGTTAGTGTATGCATGTGTATGTTTGCAATTGCATGTATGTGCATACGTTATTGTAAGTTTCTGTCAAATAAGTGAGAGTCTGTCATTTAGTGTGTGTGTGACTATTAGTGTGTGTCTCTCTGTCAATGAATGAGTGTGTGTCAGGGAATGTGTGTGTCAAATCAGTGACGTCTGTGTGTTTGTCATTGAATGTGTGTGTTACTTACAGTGTGTATCTGCCAGTGTGGGTGTCTGTCAGAGAGTGTGCTTAAAGGGACACTATAGGCACCCAGACTACTTCAGCTCCTTGAAGTGGTCTGGGTGCAGTGTCCCAGTCCCCTTAAACCTTCTCAGAAACTGCAATAATTACCTGAGGGGTAACTCCAAGTCTAGTGGCTGTCTATCAGACAGCCACTAGAGGGACTTTCGGGTGGTTAGGTGACCAAAAGTCACCTAACTGATGCTGGACGTCCTCACCCTGTGCATGAGGACATCCAGCATCTGCTAAATACCCATAGGATTTTAACCCCTTCAGTGTCGAGTGGGGGAGGGGAGGACATGAGAGGAGGGGGGCACTATATGGAATTATAGTGCCAGGAAAACAACTTTGTTTTCCTGGCACTATAGTATTTCTTTAAAAGGAGCAGGAAAAGGTGGAATCTAAAGAGGAAGGGGTGCACCCTTGACATGAAGGAGTGGTACATTTAGATTAGGGGGGTGCTCTATAGTCATGTCTAGGGCAGCATAAAATTAAAATACACCACTGTGTGAGTGTATGTGTGTGTGCACGCGTGTGTATATATATATATATATGTATATATATATATATATATATATGTATATGTATACACACACACATACATACATACATACATACATACATATATATACACATACATACAAGTGTTTTGGTTTTTTTTGGGGAGAGTTCCCACACTTTTTTCCCCAGGACTTGACCCCTGCAGGTAACGTTCTCTTTGTTTTTACTATGTATTTTAAGCTGTTGGATACTAAGCTACTGCTGCTGTAAGCGCGGTGCTTTGTCTTTGTGTTTGTATATGATAGTTATATATATATATTATTAATATACATGTGTGTGTGTATATATATATATATCAGAATCCAATCAATTACGTCTATCTCTACATTGTGTTAGCAAGATTGCTAGCAAAATGTATATAAGGAAAATCTATTTAATAAGAGGTCTTTCTCTCACCTGTCAATTAGCTATTCGGCATAAACTCCTGTGCTGAAGAACTGAGTTACAGGGAGAGCAGGAGACACAGGCGAAAATGCATCCCCCCAAACACACACACACAAAAATGCATCTTCTCTTGTGTTTCTCTTAACTCCCTTATGAATTTCTTGCCTTTTTTTGTTACTTATTCCCTCCTTTGATTTTTTTTTACCTCATTTAGTGTATCTTTTACTTCATCCCAGCCCTTGTGTGTCTCTTTTTACCCTTCTCCAGCCTCTGTATGTCTCTTTCCCTCCAGCCCCTTTTGTGTAAGTCTTAGCCCCAACCCCTTTGTCTCTTTCTCCCCTTCCAATCCCCTCTGTGTGTCTCTTTCTAACTCCAGACTCTCTGTGTGCCTCTTTCTCTTCTCCAAGCCACTCATTGTCTCTTTTTTCCCCAGCCCAGCTTTGCCCCCCACAAACCTTGTGTGTCACTTTGTTCCCCTTCCCTTCTGTTTGTCTCTATGTCCCCCAACAAACCTTCTGTGTGTCTCTGTCTCCCCCCCAGTCCTTCTGTGTCTCTTTGTCTCCCCCAGTCCCTCTGTGTGTCTCTTTCTCCCCCTCACTACTTCTCTGTGTCTCTCTCCCCCTTTCCTCCCTGTGTCTCTCTCCCCCTTTCCTCCCTGTGTCTCTCTCCCCTTCTATCTCTTTCTCCCCCTCTTTTCCCCTTGTCTATTACTGAAAATGGCCATAGGGCTCCCTCTTAGAGTTGTGCAGCCCCCAGATGCTGCTGCCCTCCAGGAAATTTCCCGGTATCCCGGTGGGCCAGTCCGGCCTGGTGAGATGGATTTCAGGGAAAAACTACTGTTCAAGAGTGAAGATAGAATATGTTTCACAACCCAAAATCTAGTCAAGGGCATAGTGGTATCTCACCGCCAGATTGTAGTAAAAAAAGTAAACAATCTTCAGGCACAAATTAAATCTGGGTTTCTGCAACAGATTCAGGGCCTCGAACACGCACTTTCCCCACCACAAGAAAGGGGTGAAAAGAGTGCAAACTGTTCACATCAAGCTTTAGGAGTGGTAATGGTAGAATTTGTATGGGGTATAATATTTTGGGTAAAATGCCCTACCAGAGTTTATATAGAATGTGTATCTGTCTGGAGATCTGTAAAATACATTGTGGGTGGAAAGGCCCCTAGACTGACCAATTCATATGGTAGCCTATATTGGGGATGTAGTGTGCTATATTGTGGACAATGATGTGATGATACTTTGTTGGATTAGAAATTAAATGTAATCTGAAAAAGCTGTGATGCTTACTAGATTTGTTCCCACAAATATCCCTGGTGAGTTGTTTGGGCCATGTAGGATATGGACTAAAGGGTCTAGTGAAAGGCTGAAAGAGTGAACATCCCTTTTTGACCCCACGTTCCATGTAGACAGTGGGTGAGTCACTGGCCACTGACTCTGTGTTAGGTTGCTGGAGATTTGTAATAAACTTGTAGAATAAAAAATTGAAGAAAAAAAAAAATGTAAGATTCGAAACATGTGAGATTAGACTTCAAGGCTCAGACGCAGGCTGTTATACAGATCAGAACTCATTGATACTGTTGATGCTGCTATAGCCGCTCTAACTCTCATAATGGATTGTTTACCACTAGTGAATTGCAGCTGCTTGGGGTGCAGTATTTCAAAGAGAAAAGTTTCCAGTCTTTGGTCAATGATTTTAGAGAGGAACTTCAAGTCCAGTTTTTTCCCCGGCTTTGGGAGCAGTATAGATTGGGATAGTTTGCGTCTAGATAAAAAGCATTAAAATAGATTTTCAAGTAGGGAGGAAATGCACTTTTAAAGTTTTGTGTATTCAGCACCGCCTGGTGATTTCCCAGACCCAGAGCAATTAGCTTGGTGCCTAACATTAATTTCTAATTTGCATTTTCAAGAGGGTAGGGTCAAACAGCCTTTTAGATCTTAGTATTTAAATTCCCTATCTTGGTGTGGGCCGTGTGTAAATTTCTGCAATCAAAAAAAAATATTAACCTTAACACACTTACAAGGCATATTCTCTGCATTTCAAATTTCTCTTTTTGCCAACCTACAAATTAGAAGTTACATTAACATGATTCTACCATAGATAAATGACAATGATTATACAATAAGTGGACAGCGTCACCCTCAACCCTCTTCAACTGTGACATTCTCTTGGCCACAAACAAACCATTTAAACTCATCCCAGTGCCATTGTACAATAAGTTGCATTGGTGGTAAGCATTACATGCTTAGTTAGCACCTGACTCTTACACAGACAGAAACTGATAAATTCTGTGAAATGCCTGAAATGTGGGAGAGAAGGGGCTGAATTAATTCACTGTTTTTGGGGCTGTCCCTGGAACGGAGAGTTTTGAGGAGAGACAGGCTTATTTGGAAAGCAACTTGCACTTCCTGGAGTCATTGTCCATATTTGCTATTTCACGTCGGCACTGCAACACACTCTAGGTATAAAACCATTCTCCATGTGTCAATATCTGTTGATAAGCCA